TTATACTCGTAATGTGGAATTATTATTATGGAAAAATAATTAAACATCATAAAAAAATGTTTTCTCGTAGCATAAGCAATTGTCCCATCATCTCGTCATACAGCAAAAGCAGTTTTTTTTTCCCCTCTTGGAATGTCAGAATCGTTTACAACTGGAACAGATAAATGAGAAAAACAATTTATTAATACATTTTCTTCATTGAGTCCATTGATTTTGGTGATGATTATCAGAAATTTACCTTGTGACGAATTTCGATGTTGGCAGGCAATCTCTCAGGAAACTTGAAATGGCTCATTGGACGAAAGTAGACGTGGCCGTGAGGACAAAACCATAATTTAGCTCGTACATCACCAATCGTGACGAAAGTGCCACCAACTTTGAAATGTCTGTTGATAACTCCTCTCAGCTTTTTCTTCAATGCCTTCTCAGACAGCTCCTCACCCCATTCTTTAGGCACGAAAATTTTCACCAGTTCATCATCATCGTCTGAGTCATCATCCGATCCTGTAGTGCACTTTGGAGCTGAGCCTGGTTGTGCAGTCCCAGGATCCTCTGGAATCACAACTGGTTCCACTCCCGGTGCAAGAGTCTCTGATGTTTCTCCAGATTCTGAGTTCTCGAGTATCTCTGGGATGACAGGTGAGTCTTTTTCCACTGACTCAGAGCTCTCTGGAATGATGGGTGAGTTTTTCTCCAGCGTGTCAACCTCTGGAGGGTTTGAGATATCAAGTGAACCCTTCTCTGCTGGCTCTGGACTCTCTGACGAGTCCGGGATAGTAGGCACTGCTGGGCCTTTCTCTGCTGGCTCCGGGCTCTCCGGTGAGTCTGGAATAATAGGCAGAGTTGGTCCTCTCTCAGCTGGCTCTGGGCTCTCTGGAGAGTCTGAAACACCAGACATGATTGGACTCTCCTCTATTGGATCGTGAATCATAGGAACAGCTGAATCATCCTGCTCTGCTACCTCGGGAGGTACATCCAAACCTCCCTCTACTGACTCAAGGCTCTCAGGTGACTCGGGGATCGTGATAGCCACCTCAGCGGTATTCTGTGGATCCTCCGGAATGACCATTGGATCGTGCACTTCTTCCATATCAATTGTTGAGTCAGGCTCCATTGGTGACTCAGATGTGTCCGAAGCCGCTGTCCCACCACCACTTCCAGATGATTGTGGAACAAGTATTTCATTGAAAACTGAATCCCAAGTAGTTGTATCACCTGTCTCACTATTCACTTCAGACGAAGATGTTCCGGAAAGGTCTATCAGCCCAACTACCAACTCACCATCAGTGGAGCTCTCGTTGTCAGAGTCATCTGACTCTGCAGAGAGAATTGATTCGATGGTCTCGTTCTCCACATTTCTCTTAAATCTCTCGGTGAATTTCATATTTTGAATGAATTGACGAACTGTAACGATTTCTAAAGTTGAAATTATTTCGTGATCAGACATCACACAAAAGGAGAGCACTATGCACCTTAGCTCGTTGAATCGGAATGTACCGAACAGTGGGTCTGGGGGGCTGCTTATAAAGCCACCAGATCTCATACGTCAGAGATCGCTTTTGGCATACGCCCACCACAACCGCCATTTTGTTTAACCGTCATTTTGTCCAACGGTCATCGTACCATGGACCAGTAGAAATGCTAACCAGACACACTATGGAATGTAATCATTCCACCATAACGGATATTGAATTAATATTATGAAAACGTGACTCTTTCATGTTGGGGTGTAGCTTGCGCCCTCTGAGATCATTCCACAGGGGTGCCGCCGATTGCATCATTATATTTCTAAGAAAGTCAACTGAAAAATTCTTCGCGGAAAAATCGACAACGGTTTGCGCTCGCAAGAGAGGTATTCACCCTCTGTGATGTTTAAAAAGTTTTTTTTTCTTCGAATTCCGTCTGACAGACTTCATCATTGCGAGTTGACCAGACAATAACAAAAATTATTAAATTAATATTGTAAAAACGTGACTGTCTCGAGACAACGCTTCATCTACCCCTCCAGCAGAAACGTGTGGAGAGGGCTAATTTCAACCGATCCGCCATGATGCTAAATGACAACGCATAAAGACATGAAGATAGAGGGGTGATCTCAGTCAGTTTCGCATCTGAACAACAGCACTATGGCGGTAGTTATTGATATTGAGGGTTTTAAAGATATTGGAAATCAGTTCATTGTGAAAGAATTCGCAATATCTGCATTGGAAGTTAATGAACATGGAAATTTTCTCCATGACTGGGCTCTGGTGGACCCACCTCGCAAATGGGATGATTTGCTACCTAAATATAAGGAAACAAATCAGTGGTTGTCACGTCATCATCACGGGCTGCACTGGGAAACTCCCGGCGATATTGAGTACCAGGGATTAAGTGATTTTGTCAATCGTATGGTGGAGTATGTCCCACACATCTACGTCCAAGGTGCTGAGAAGAAGAAGTGGGTGGATCGGATCCTCAAGAGAGATATACCAGTTGACGATTTGAACGATCTTGGTTGTCCAGTTCTGAATTACCTGAAGGAGGAAAAAAAGTGTACATATCATCATAGCCTTTATGATGGAAGTCCTGTCCACTACTATTGTGCGGTGGATAATGTGGTGCGCTTAAAAAAATGGTACGCTAGATATGAAGCTGGGTCTCTAGAAAAATCTTTGAAAAAGTTTTGTGAAAATCAACATTTGAATTCGTTGACAAGCCAGGAAATTTCTTATCTCCCCAAACACTTCATTGCAACCGTTGCCAAGGACACTGTTGATGCAGCTTGGGAGAAATTGCCAGAGATGATGAAGAGAGATCCAAGCATCGCTGGTTTACGCTATTGTCGCACGCATTGGTCTTCATTGGGTACAATACCACTCAGTCCAACGCCTCCACCAATAGCAGAGTGCCCTCTATGCCAGTATCGACGTTGATAATATATACAAAATTACAGCACCACATTCGGTATACTTGGATTCTTTGAAACCCCATCCTCCCTCTCCTCATATGAGATCAGCTTGTATAAACTCTCGTAAACATCGTCAGTTCACCATTGAATTTCGATAGTACCACATCGTAATTATTATTCACTCAGTTTGAACAGAAGAAACAGGATTTTTACATTCATTTGAAAAAGTTATTTGTGAAAGTTATCAATTTACGTGTTCAATAGACAAAATGTCGCATCATATAGATTTTGAGATATGTGAGAAATCGTATACATCCTTTGAGGATGTTGCAACATGGAATATGGATGAGGCCTATCATCGTATCCTAGAGAATGTCCTCATACCCTTCAAATGGTTCATGCAATTGCCCATGCCAATGTTGTTGACACACATCATGAGGGCTATTGAGGAAATGGATGGCATCACCGATGTTTATCTATCGTTTGTTGGTGTGCGTACTATTCTAGTTAAAAAAGACGATGTGTATGTCTTCGTCCAGGGACCTATGGCAGATGAGGGAACATCTCCTGATTGCAGCTCATGTGAGGGTAAAACTTCCCCTGAATGTGACTCATGCAATGAGGTAGGAAGCAGTGCAGATATAGAAACGTTGGAGGAGATGAGAGCGATGGAGCAAGCAGATGGAGCGAGGGTGCCAGAGGTTTATGTGAGTCCAATGAGGGACGATGAGGGGGAAGATGGGGTAGAAGATGACCATGTGGTGAGCGTATTCAACGTTGATAGCAGTGATACCTCTTCGGATGAGGTCTCTTTCAACTTTATTTTTGATGGCGAGACATAAAAAGTTGAAAATCAGATGAAGGTGAGGGGGATAACCAATGACACTGCATGGAGTGTATAAGAGGGGGTCCTTCTCCCTCTGTTGCCTGTCAGAGAACAAATTGGCAATAGACATTCCTTAATCTTCGAGTGAATATTATCATGGAATTAATTATTGATTTTCAAGGATTCCGCAGAGGAGGACATTTTGTTTTGAAAGAGTTGGGTGTAGTGTCAGTTCAGTCACCAGTTGATGAGAGTTCGCTTCATATCCACATTGTTTTCCAACCACTATGTGCCTGGAGTGATCTGGAGACGCAGGATGTAATAACCAACAGATGGCTGACTCGTAATCATCATGGATTATTGTGGAATACTGGTGAATGTGATTACAATGATATTGGGAAAGTTTTTGACAGTTTCTTGAAGAAACAAACAAAAATTTATGTGAAAGGGTTAGAGAAAATCACAGACTTGGAGAAACTGGTGGGAAAGTCACATGTACTCATAAATTTGGATGATTACAATTGTCCAAACATTGGCAACTACAATATCAAAGACTGTTCTCATCGGAAAATCCATCAGAACATCAACACACGTGATCAGAAAATCCACTGTGCTTTGGCCAATGTGTATCGTTTGAAAAAGTGGGTCGAAGACAATTACCAAAATCTCAAAACCAAAGAAAGTGATTTCAATGAAATTTTTTTGACTGAAAACTGACATTCCACAAATTAAATTATGTAAAATATTGTTGTTCCTCATCATCATCGATTAATTCTGTATCTTCCAATTTTCATCTTTTAAAAAATATAATCTGAAATTTCAAATTTGATAAAGTGCATTTTTTTTAAATTAATAATGTGTCATTCATCTATTCCTTCAACAAAAAATAATTTCAGGTGTTCACACACTCTTGGAGCCACATCTTCTCTCTCTAATCGGTGAAATATACAGTCTGCTTTATTCCGCATTGATAAATCCTCTCAATCACATATATATATTGAATCGACGTTGTT